AATGCCATTTTTACTGCCTTGACCAACTCCTCTTTGTCTCTGGGTTCTATCTGATCTCCTTGGCTGTGTAGCACAATGTGTTCAATAACATTAAATCCAATAATAGGGAATTGCTGCTGTTTGCCTTTTAACACTAGCACAGGTATTAGACACTCATCATCACTAGCGGCAAGTTGAAAGAGTACTTCCAGCCAACCAACATATGGCATTGCTGTCCCATTGGCTGCTTCAAGTTGCAAGGGGTTGTGTGGGTCAATTAGCTCTGTTATCTCTCGTAGTGGCACATCTGGTAAGCGGTTGTGTTTCCAGACCTCATCTATAGCACAAACTTGTGAACCTGTGTCCCAAAGTGCCTGTGTCTTTTGTTTGTGTAGGAGACACCGGATAAGACACTTCTTTCCTACTAACTCCCTTGCTGTATTTGTTTTTCCTGCAACAAAACCGTTCTTTCTCCCAGATGTTCCACGTGACTGTACAACTTGTTTCCTAACACCTGAACAAGCATGTGGCCCACAATCCCTTTTGTGCACAGGCCAATGGGCTCCCTGGCATTCTTTCAAGCAGTATAATGTAGTTTTACACACTGAACAACATTTTAATTCCTGTCTTTCCTTCTTTTTCTTACAACTTGCACAAGACTGGGACTTATTTATACACTTGGTTACCCCTTGTCCCTTGGGAGCAACCCTTCCTAGTTTAAATGACCTCGGTCCCCAGTTATTGCCCGCCTCTCTGCTCTACAGCCTGCCCTGAAATGCTCAGTGCTCCCACACCTAAAACAATGCTGACAGTATTCTTCCCCAGCTTGGATACATGCAAAGCACCTAGGCTGAGGGCGGGATGCTGGATAATATCGCTGTGGTGCAAATCGCTGTTGGAACTGGGCTGTCTCCCCCATCCATCCTGGGCCAACTGCTGGTCGATACTCCCGCATCGCCGTTGTTTGTTGCTGGTGGTAGTACGGCATGACATTGGATTCAGCTCTATAAGGAGGGGATTGTGAGGTTGAAAACATTGGACATGGGGCAGTAGTTGTGGTTCTGTGCTTGGTGGGGGATACTGTGGGGAGGTGGTCTTTTGTATAGTTTCCATAATCAGAGAAATCTCGGCTTTCAGGTCTTTCAGCAGTACCATATCAGAACGCATTTATTTGATTTCACATAACAAATCAGGGGGTAGAGGGGGTGTGCTTTGCTGGATGGTGCGTTCTTTTCCACCGCAACCTCACTGGACTGGACTGTACTCTCATTAGTGACTTGTGATGGGGCACTGTTTTTCTTTTTGTCCTGTCTCTCTTTTTTTTGGCGCAGGCAATATTAACTCTCTCCAGCAGGAGTTCATCTGAGGTGTTAGTCTGCAAGAGGTAAGGCTGTAGGTCACTTTTAATATTGTCATTCTGAAGGCCAGTCAGGAGAGTATGCATAAATAGACTTTGAACCAAGGCTGGGTCGTACTTTAAACTTGACTCCGCTTCCTGAGAAGCAAACAGTATCTTCTGCCTCAGATTATCAGAAAGTTTTGAGGGGACTCTTTACTGCTCTGAATCTCAGAAGTGAGTTGTTTGTATAAATCTGTGGCACCTCTCTCTTGGTAGTGGGACCTGAGTATTCTGCGAAGGGCAGGCAGTGTAAGATTTCCTTTCCCTTCCAGGTAACTCCGTAACTGTAGGCCTGGTGTGACTGTGCGGATTACAGAGTCAATGATATCGGGTTCTGGGTAACCTCTGCTAAGCCCACTTTCAATTTGCCTGGCCAGACTAGAAAAGGTTAGCTTATCCTTCTGTCCTGGTTCACCTATTTGGCCTGCTATTTTAAAATCTTTGCGCCACATGGAACTATCTGGTGGTACTAGAATCATATTCTTTCCAGGAGTACTGACACCTGAAGAGGAGTTCTGCGTTCGCTGGCTGGCACTGAGCCAGATACAGACGCGTTTTTACAGCACTGCTTATTATAACCAATAACACACGATGCTGTTGAGCTTATGAATGCAATGACCAATCAGAGGTGTTCAGATGAGTCATCGCTAAAATGCCAGTGTTTTCTTGACTCGCTCGCTGACTGAATAACTCTTTCTGGAGAATTCTCTCGTCAAAAACAACAAAGTGGAAATGTGTCTACGAATCTGTAAGATATTAATTTCATAGTGTAAACAGCTTCAGTGATTTTAATGGGAGTTTGAACTTTGTTTGAATCTTGAAGTTTGAATCTTGAACTAGACTGTCAGTGAAAATGTTCTTTGATAATGTAAATGTTCTTTGCTCTCTTTCTGTACAATGAAAGTGTTATGATTAGTAGCCTAACTTGCAATGTTTTTATTCACATTAACTTTCAATGTTAAATTCACATTAAATATAAACTCAGTCATATTAAAAATATGTTATGGCATGGCATCCATATCTGTTAATTAAGTTAGCAGACAGGTTTTTATGCATAGTTAATAGATTACATTATTAGGTTACTTTGACCATCGCCCACTATAGATCAACATAATCTATAAGGTGAGAATCAAAATATTTCATTATATAGATAATGTGTTTGGGGATGTTTCGAATAAAAAGGAAAAAATAAATAAAACATTAGTGCTGTTGTGGCTGCTGTGTGTCACATGACTAGCCCTTGCTCACTCATATTATCAACGGCAGCGGCTTACTGGAATGCCGATACACTTCCCGTTCAAGGTGCTTTATGATATGGGAAATCAGCTGACTGCGACTTTTACCAGCCACATTTTTCTCTTCAGGCCCCGAGATCTGAAGTGCAGTGCATACTCTAATTAATTGTCCTACAGTCAATCTGTATAACGCTCCTTTAATTTCCAACAGAAGCTTTTCCAATTCAGACTCAGAAGCCTTGAAAGTAGCAGTGAGTGAAGACTTAATTGGCTTTTCCTGCCCCCTAGTAGTGTTGCTTTCGTCAACGAAAATTATGACTAAATATCGTCGTCAACGAACCTTTATCACATGATGAAAACGAGACGAGACGCAACGTAAATGCTGGTCATGTGATGATGACTATAATTAAATGTATAATGCAATATTGTTGACGAATAAAAACGAGACTAAATGTGGTTTACAAAATAAAAACTATGCTAAAATGTCTCTTCATTTTCGTTGACCAAAACGAGACGAAACGAAATGTTATAACGTTATTTCGTCCGCGTTTCGTCCGCAGTATTTCTCACTTCAGGGGCTGCATCAGGTCGCACTGCGCAGACGCAGGCGACACCACTTCCTCAAGCCCCACTCGCGGCATTATTTAAAACAGTGTTTCCCAACCGGGGTGCCGTCTGTCGAGAGCAGGGGTGCCGTGTAAAAAATCATTTTTTAATATTTTTAAATTGCTAAAATGTTCAAAAAAAAAAGAACAGCATGCCACTTGTTTAATTAACGTCTTAATAATTGACTCAGATGAATGATGGTATTTGTGCCATAATGAAGGAACAGCAGTCATCATATGCAGTCCGGTATTTCAGTCCTCTCTCGTCTGATTCATGAGGAAGACCTGTGGAGTTTATTATGTCAATTTAGGGACAGCAGACTCCAGGCAAACCCACGCTGCTCCTTCCTTCCTTCCCTCAGAGCACCAAATGGTTTGACACGGCCCATGCGCAGACGCACACACACAACAGATGGACAGTGATGTCTCACTCACAGATCAGAACCTTGTTAAAAGAGCAGCCATACAAAGGTTACGGTATGTTATGGGGAAATCGCATGAGAAGATCTAAAAATAAAAACGAGTGTAATTTGTTTGTGCTGCATTCGACACTATAGATCATGACATACTCATAGATCGATTACAAAACTATACAGGTATTCAAGGGCAGGCTTTAAGATGGTTTAGATCCTACCTGTCCGATCGCTACCCAGATTTTTGACTGTAGAGGAAGTAACAGTACATCCATCTAGATGCAAATTGTAATCTCCAAGAGATTCTGTGTAATGTTTTTTGGTCCAATAAGTAATATCTCTGTCTTATCTGAATTTAATAAGAGAAAATTATTAGTCATCCAATCTTTTACATTTTTAACACACTCTGTTAGCTTAGATAATTTAAAAGTTTCATCTGGTCTTGTTGAGATATATAGTTGAGTATCATCAGCATAACAGTGGAAACTAATCCCGTATTTTCTAATAATATTACCAAGGGGCAACATGTATATACTGAAAATAGCAGAGGACCTAGGACAAGCACTCCATATTTTACTGGTGATAATTGAAATGACTCCCCATTTAACTTGTGTAACAGGAATTATATAACTACATTTCGTAACAACAATATGTATAAGAGTAATTGGAACCATTTGATCCAGAGGGTGGAGATGGGTAGGTTTAGGGATATGTAAAGTGGGAGTTTCGTAATTGTGTCTTTCAAACAATTAATGTTAAAACGAAATGACTTTGTACATTAAACAAAATATTGAACAATTTGAAATATGGCTTTGTATATTGAACATAATTTTGACCTTAACTTTTTCTTAATGTTCATTTCTGCTGGATCATGTAATTAATACTATGAAATGAATACTACCAGTTACATATACAGCGATCCGTCATGCCACATTAAAGAGCGTGAAAAAAAACATTGCTATATATTGTTTGTATTTCGCTATAAAACTGACAGATTTTGAAAGCTGAGGCTCCGGCCTATCTCCGTGTGCAAAAGGCTAGAATATACGCTCAATATATTATAACTTTCGACTCTACCCTCGTGGGCCATCTCATACATATAATATATATACACACACACACACACAAAGACCCATGACTGCTCATTTCGTCCTAAACCTGTGGTATAAATTTCCTACTGGATGACACGTCGCTGCTGCACAAATCAGTCTATCACAACCAGGACTGCCTACACAAGTTATCAGATCATTTTACATAAAAGCTACTGCTCTTACTACTCATAATTTGAAGTGTTGCACTACTGAAAAGAATCTGAGGCTGGTACAAAGACACATTTTAACACCATGATCCACCCTACCAATTTCCCTGATTTTTTTTTTAAGTGGCCCTCGTCACACTTAATATGCTGCTGCAAACAAAACACACACACTAAATCGTAAAATCTGGTAGAAACACTAACATACATTTAAGTGATGATAGTTATGTTACTATCAGCAGCAAGACGGTGGTGGTCACATTGTAAAGAAATGCAACGCACATGTACACAAATGCATTCCTATAGCCTGACCACACTGTTACCTTTCACAAATTCACAATTTTTTTTTTTCCATAGTTGGAGGTAAACCGCTTTTGTGAACCCTGAGCAGTAGTAGAGTGACGGTCTACACCTTGGGGTGACAAAACACATTTGCAATATACGCTTTCATATGGAGAGGTAGGGGCAAACCGACTTGCCGTATCTTGAGGCTGACGCGATCCACCGTAAGCAGTGCTTCCACGTAGGTTGAAGGGAGTAGATCCTGTCTGGATGCCAGAGCTGCCCGTGTAGGTGGAGGTAAACTGCTTCAGAGAACCCTGAACAGTAGTAAATGGACCAGCTTGGGGTGAAGACTGAGATAAACCTGGATATGAGGATGGAGACCCAGGGGCAAACTGGCCAGTGGTACCTTGAGACTGGACAGAACCACTGTAAGAGCTGCTCATTCCCTCCGAGGCAAAACCAGTAGAGGCCCCAAACTGAGCCCTAGAGCCGCCCTGGGAGGCAGAGGTAAGCTGCTTCCGTGAACTAGATTGACTGGCAACACCTTGGCGTGAGGACAGTGATAAGCCTGGATATGAGGACGGAGACCCAGGGGAAAACTGGCTAGCGGTACCTTGAGACTGACGTGATCCACCATATGCAGTGCTTCCCTGCAGAGTGAAGCTGGATGATCCTGCCTGGGTGCCAGAGCTGCCGATATAGGTAGAGGTAAGCTGCTTCCGAGAACCCGGAACAGTAGTAGTTGGACCACCTTGGGGTGAGGAGAGTGAAACACTTGCATATGGGGAAGACCCAGGGGCAAACTGGCCAGTGGTACCTGGAGACAGGACAGAACCACTGTAAGAGCTGCTCATTCCCTGCGAGGCAAAATCAGTAGAGGCCCCAAACTGAGATCCAGAGCTGCCCTGGGAGGCAGAGCTATATTGCTTACGGGAACTCAAGACACTGGTGGACTGACTAGAAGTGCTTTGGAGCGAGGAAATGGGCTTGGAGTAGCCAAGAGCATATTGACTAGAGGTAGCTTGAGACTGTGGAAACAACCCCCTGTAATAGTTCCCTCCCGGAGATGTAAACTGACCAGAAGCTCCCATTTGAGACGGAGAACCAACCTGTGAAACTGCTCTATAGGAAGACCCGCTATTTGTGGTAGCTTGGGGTACAGACATGGGGGCACTTACATATTTGGTAGGGGACGTGGGAGCATACTGACCCAGAGTGACCGGAGGCTTGAGAGAAACTAACAGAGCTACTACCTCCTTGCACAGGGATAAAATGACTGGAAGTTGCTAACCGAGTGCCAGACCTGCTCTGGGTGCTTGACGTAGACACACTAGGTGAACGCGGAACACTTGTGGACTGGCTAGAAACCCCCAGGGGTAAAGAATTAAGCTTGTTAGCCACCAGGGATCCTGGAGTATACAGACTAGGGGCACAGAGACTGGGACACCACTGTAACTGCCACTCCCTACTCGTGTGGGGATAGATTGGACAGAACTTACAGACAATTCATCTCCAGAGCTGCCCTGATAAGTGGTAGAGCCTTGAGCCTGGCTAGATATGACCAAGGGCTGAAACTGACTGGACGTCTCTGGATATTTGGAAGACAGGTCAGGAGGACTAAGCCCTGCCACTTCCTCTAGAAGAGAAAAACCAGAAGCTAAAAAGGCGTCAGAACTACCCTGAGAGCTTGAGCCAAACAGACTGGGGAAGCTCTGGTCGCCACTGGACTGGCTAGAAATTGGAGAACCAAGCATGGTATTGGAGTCTGGGGTATACTGACTAGAGGCACCTTGAGACAAACCACTGTAACCAACTTCACCCTGAGAAGATACAGGTTGAACCAAGCTTTCTGAAAGTAGTGCAGGGCTACTCCGAGAAGTGGAAGTGGCACCTGGAGCAGATGAACTGCTGTAAGACACTTTTTTTTAGAGAACACAGGCAAAGAGGTTTCTGCCAGTTGAACAGCAGTTTCCTGGGAGCTGGACACATGCAAAGTATCACTGGTGGATTGGCCAGAAACACCAAGCTTAGCAGGATAGCTAATACGCTCTCCTAAGGTAGAAACAACTTGTCCTAAACCACTTGCAGCATATTGGGTCTCCAAACTTAATCCACCAGCAACACCTGGAATGGTTGATCCAGAGGATGCCAAACTGCATGAAGGCTGTTGATTCAGGGACAGAGGCAAGGACGCTGAGACAGAGCTGCTTGGAGTAGTTTGGGCATGGGACGTTGACTGATAGCTGCTGGAACCACCTTTGACAAACTGAAGTAGATTCAACTTAGACTTGCTTTTCAGGGGTTTGTTAGGGAACAAACTGGAGCCCACTTCTTCAACAGGCAAAATCCCAGTCAAATGGATCTCTGACATAGAAGACTGGACTGCACGAGGTGAGAAAGCATCAGAAGGCTGACCCCACCCATGATGGGCACTGGAAGAAACTCCACCTGTAGAATTAAACAAACCAGAAGACTTTTGTACACAAGTCCCCTTTATCCTTGAAATAAAGGGAGGGGCACAAACACACCTTTAAATCCATCAGCATTCCTCCAAAACAACAAGATGATTACTAGCAAGGGTAACCTACAAAATAAACAAAATAAAAATAAACTCTAGCAAATGTGTACACAGTCATTCACAAACACAGATTGAATGAACAAACTCACCTTTTCCACCTTTGATCCATGACAAAAAAAACCACAAGTACACCAAAAACCCAATGTTCACGTTCTCAAACCACCACACAAAATCAACAAATACAAGCATACATGCAACTGGAGGTAAGTGTATTTTATAGGCCTTCACCAGTCCAATTAGAGCAAACGACTAATTATATGAAATATTGTTCACCTGGGAAACTGGTCGTTAAAAGATCATTGATGCGTGTTTTGTGAAGGCTCTGATACCCTCTGCAGTTTAAACATTATAAAGCAGCTAATTAATCCCAGAACATTACTTTCACAGTGTAAGATATCCTCATACACCTTATACAAAATATACCACATCATATTATATAAAAATGTGTTAATTGGATTACGTGCTAATTATATTACTTTTATCAAGCTAATTTTGATATTAAAATCAGTTTGCAATTAATTATACCTTTGTCTATTTTGTTAATTTTTTATTTTATTAATTTATTTATTTTTTAAATTTTTTTGCTCAGTACTTTCTTTTTCAAATATGTGGCATGGATTTGACAGAGTTATGCTAAATTATGTGGAGATTAAAAACAATCCTTTACCTTTTGTTATTGTCTGAGGCCCCATCCACACAGAGACAGATTTAGCTGTATATGTAAACATTTTGTATCACCTAATAATGGCGAGGCAGCAGAGCACATTGCAGAGTGCTTTAATAGGAACCTGATAAAGTCAGCAGATCATTTTCTCACGCACATTAGATCTGTGTTATGGTAACATTGAGGATACATATAGGGCAATATGTAGAGCACCCATTGGCAGATTGGTTCATAAGGTGATCCATTTACTGCCAAAATACAGACAACGTGTTAGAAATGAGAAGCCGGTGGAAAAAGAAAATCCAGGTTTGGAGCAAGGATAAAGAGAACATGTTACAGGATTGTTTTTGCACTACAAACTGGGATGTTTTCTTTGATTCATGCAGAGACCCTCATGAATTATCAGACCGTAGCACTTATTTTATTCAATTCTGTGAAGAGACTGTTATTGATACTAAAGAGGTTAAAATCTTTTCAAATAACAAGCCATGGTTTATGAAAGATCTGAAGAAATACCTTAATGAGAAAAACCCAGCCTTTCGTGATAATGATTTTGAGGGTTTTGTGATGAAAAGAAAGGAATTAATAGCTATGATTCAAAAAGCAAAAATTGATTTTAAAAGTAAGGTAGAGGATCAGTTAGCAAATCATGATGCAAGGAGTGCTTGGCAAGATTTAAATAAGATGATGGGGCTTGACTTAAAAGGTGTAAATAATGATATTATAGACAGATCTTTTAAAATGGGTTAATGATTTAAACATGTTTTACGGAAGATATGATGTAGTTGGTAACAGAGATAAGGTTGAAGAAACTGGTGCCAGGATTCCTGTGGGTTCACCTATTTGCTTGATAGGCAAACACACTAGAATGTGTCTTAAGCAAATCAGGTGCTGTAACGTGCCAGATCCAGATGGCCTTAGGGGCCACGTTTTAAAGGTTTATGCGAATTAATTAAATGACACTTGAACAAAATTATTTCAGTTTTTATTAAACTCTCAGATAAACTCTCCTAATATGTGGAAATTGGCCCATTACTAAAAAAGTGGGGCGAAAAAATTAGAAAACTTTCGCCCCGTAGCCTGCCCTCGACATCATTAGTTATCACCTTAAATCGTACATATCAGAGCACCTAGATGTATTGCAATTTGCATATAAGCCACAAAGAGGGACAGAGGATGCTACACTCACTATGGTCGATACAATTGCTACTCATTTACAACAAGCAAAGGCCTATGCACGTGTTGTTTTCATTGATTTAATACGATGCAAATACATCTACTTTTAGAACGTCTTTTAGTTTTAGGAGAGAACGGGGTAATAATTCACTGGATTAAAATTTTCTTAACAGATAGACCACAAGAAGTCTGTGTCAGGGGGTTAAATCAGACATTATGTTTCTAAATACAGAAGCACCTCATGGATGCGTTTTGCCTCCCCTATTATTTTCTGTCTATACAAATCATATGCAAATTCAGAGTACAAATTATAAATTATAGGAATATGCAGACGATATGGCACTGGTTGTACTCTTATGGAAAGATTGCTTTGATTAGGAGTATGAAGAGCATGTTTTGAAGTTAGAAAAATGGTGAAAAGCAAGTTCTCTACTGATAAATGTTGGGAAGACAAAAGAGTTGATTTTAAATCACCCAGAACCCTTAACAGAAATTATGTTATGTGATCAGCCAGTGGAAATTGTGAAGGTTTTTAAGTATTTGGGTACTATGATTGATTGTAAGCTGAATTTCTCTGGTAATGAGGATTTTATCTGTAAGAAAGCAAATCAGAGGTTATATTTGGTACCGAAATTGAGAGAATTTTCTGTTAGCCAAGGCAGGGGTGGATTTAATGATTTGGGGACCCCAGGCAAACTATATGATAGTTACAAATATACAAATTTAGCCTTGAGGTTCCTTTTTTTTTGTTGTGATGTAACAAAATACATTTTTCATGTACATGTTATAATGGCTTTCTTTCATGTTGTAGACCACGAAATAGCAATTGATTTACAGTTTTCACAATAACAAAATAAATTATAAAATGATAAACCTCACAACTGAGCCTTTAAACAATTTTTTTGAGAAAAGAGATGAGTCGGAAGTATAAATTAAGATATTAATTTAAAATGGGGTTATGTGGGTGGATTTTCACATTGGTCTGAACTAAAACTGCAGATGTGATTATTTAAAATGTACATTGATTCTCTGCCAGCAGGAACATCAGAAATACAGTTTCCCCGGTAACGACTGTAAACAAAGCAGCGCTGCGCTCATAAACACTTCTTTATCAGATAAAATGAAAATGCCATGGAAAGTTTTCTGAAGACAGTCAGTTCCCTTCATTCATTCATATAAAAACTTGAATTAGTGAGAATGAGAAGAGTGTGAAAAAATATAGCCTATATTGAGGAGGAAAGTCTACTGATGGCTGTGATGAGTTACCAGCATAAGCCTGTGTGCCAAAGGCGGTCTAATTCTAAGCTTTAAAATACACTTATTTTAGTTATTTTAACTACAAATTTAAATGAAAATGAAAAAAATAATGAAAAGGAAATTATACATTTACACACCTAAGGATTATATCAACCAAACAAATTGCGTATGCGTCCTTGGGTTCTTATGAATAAGTAAGCAGCATTTAAAATAATAAACATATAATACTCACTGTTGCTCAATATTTAATTACAGCTTCAGATGCATGATATTTTCATTTGCTACAAGCAGGATAAGTTACACGAGAAGTGTGTTCAACTCGGACATGCAGATGGTTGTCGTGGTGATAAATACTGTAAAAAGCAACCGTTCGCATGTCCGCACTTAATGCGCATCTCGTAGATGAAAAGCATTTTAGGGGGCCCCAAGGCAGTTGCCTACCTTTACCTAATGGGTAAGTCCGCCTCTGAGCCAAGGTTTTATACAAAGAGTTTATATTAGTTTAATAGAAAGTGTTTTAGGGTATAATATAACGGCTTGGTTTGGGTGAATAACGTCTATAAATAAAGTAAAATAAACAGGATCATAAGGATGACAAGCAAAATAATGGCAGTTAAGAGGAAAGATTTGGCTATAAGTGGAGATGAAACACACCCTCTGAACTATGCCTTCGAATTGTTACCATCTGGGTGCCGTTATAGGTCACTGAAGGCAACTAAAGCAATTTATAAACAAACCTTTGTGCCATATGCAACAAGTCTCTTGAATAAAGGGTAGGACTGCAGTGTTTTTAGGAGGGATGAATGTATTAAGTATTTATTTGATGTGATATGTGAATTGTATTGATATGTGGATTGTATTGTCATTGTTAAATGTTAAGCGAGACCACATAATAAAACAATAAAGTATAACAAACAAACAAGTCTTTGGGAAAAACAGTTATTATACATCTGAAATGGATGCAGTCACCACATAACTGTCTGTATTGTCAAAAGTGTACAATGTAAAAAAAAAATCAGTTAAATTTACGGTAAAATACCAGCAGCTGTGGTTGCCAGAACTTTACCGTGAAAAATACATTAGCAACATTTTAAGTTTTACAGAACTGTTTAAATTTACAGTGAAAAACTGTATTTCAATAATTGATACAATGTTAATATGCAAACCTTTGAGTTAACATTTTATTTGCAGAAACCAATTGTGCTTAATTTGGCCAATTGGCATTTGTTTATAAACTAATATTTATAATGTTTAAGTACTGCAAGTATACTGGTATTAAGAACTATTTTGCTTAAATCCATGAAGAAAAACCTACTGATTTATGCAAAGTCATTAAAAGCATCAATTCAACTAAAATCTCTTGCAGATAACAGCAGCACACATTCATGTGTGATTGATATTATTGAAGAGATTCACACTGCATCAGTATCTACACAGTTACTGCCTTTAAATAAAACAACAAACAGCATAACATCAGTTTTTCTCTGTACGTCCTTTACTTAAACACAGGCTCTGCTCTCCAGCCCAATGGTGAACCACAAAACACAACAGGAAGTTGACGGTTAGGTTTTACAGTATTTTGCTGTTTTTTTTCTTGATTTTACGGTGAAATACCGGCAGCTGTGGTTGCCAGTAATCTACTGTTTTTTACCGTTTGCTTCCGTAAATTAAATTAACAGTATATTTCTGTTAAAAATACATTTCACAGTGTGTTTTTCTTCATCTCACACATTTAACCCATTTAATCCC